CTTCGGTCGATCTTTTTTCAGCTACCGGTACCCTGCTCCGCCTCATTATTTACAATTGTTATTATTTACAATATTATTATCTACAAAAATTCTATTCTAAGGTTTAAAAACTCCAAGGAAAAAGAAATTAATAATTCGGTAAAAACAATTTTTCTTGAACTCTTGTAAGCTCTTTCGTGTTAGGTTAGGATAGGGAACGTGTTGAACGTGTTGTTATACTTGGTGCTTCAACCTAACCTATTACTTTTGTAGTACCCCCTTCCTAATGCTGTTCCAAGACTTTCTCTTTACCGTCCCAAGACCGTTCAGCGTTGTCCCTGTACTTCTCGTTGGTACCTTTAGACCAGCGTCCCAAGACCAGCGTCCCAAGACCAATGGCCCAAGACTAACGTCCCAAGACTAACGTCCCAAGACTAACGTCCCGAGACCTATGTCCCAAGACTAACGTCCCAAGACCAACGTCCCAAGACTAACGTCCCAAGACCAATGGCCCAAGACTAACGTCCCAAGACCAATGTCCCAAGACTAATGTCCCAAGACTAACGTCCCAAGACCAATGGCCCAAGACTAACGTCCCAAGACCAATGTCCCAAGACTAATGTCCCAAGACTAACGTCCCAAGACCAATGGCCCAAGACCAACGTCCCAAGACCAATGGCCCAAGACCAACGTCCCAAGACCAATGTCCCAAGACCAATGGCCCAAGACCAATGTCCCAAGACCAACGTCCCAAGACCAATGGCCCAAGACCAATGTCCCAAGACCAACGTCCCAAGACCAATGTCCCAAGACCAATGTCCCAAGACCAACGTCCCAAGACCAATGGCCCAAGACCAATGTCCCAAGACCAATGTCCCAAGACCGTTTCGTACCAAGACTGCTCTGGCCCAAGACTGCCCCAAAGCTGCACTGTCCCAAGACTGTGTTGCTCCAAGACTGTCCCCAGACTGCAATGTCCCTAGACTAGTTCGGTACTGTCCCAAGACTTGTCACTGAGTGTCTGGATATAGGATTTCTTTCTTCTTCGTTGTAGGGACTTCTTGGTTGTCTGTACCTTGTACCACCACTCAAGCTCTAGTGAAAATTTTCCCAAAAACCCTCTCTTGGTTGCCAAATCTGGCCCCCCTTTTTTTTAGTTACCTCTTTTTGAATGTTCCCAGCAATTGGGAGCCAAAACTTGTGTGCAGGTATCTTGTGATCACCTGTTTGTATTAAAAACCAATCGCCAATCTTCCCCAAAACGCAACAATGTATATAGAAAAAATAAAATTTTATACCGAAAAAAAAAAACAAAACAGAGTAATCAACCCACCTAAAATTCAAAGGAGACAAATGTCAACCTTCTTTCAAAAAAAATGTCTGGTACCTAATTGCCACGCGTTTTCTTCCCCCCACTAGTTGTCTTATGAGGTGTCACGAAAACTGTCTATATCCGTTCCCCCCTACCGATCCAACCAGCGTACCAATCTTAACTCGAGATAAGTTTTGGATGTCCACCTATTGTTACCACGCGTGTTGATGGCTAATGTAACTAAATCAACGATGTCGATTAACTAGTTACTCTAATTCCCCCCTTTTTACAATTTACAACCGCCAACCTCTAACCTAACCAGTCCCCCTGCAAACCTCCCCCCTGTTTAGCCCCCCTCTTAAGCCGAAAAATCCCTTAAGCGCCGGGTGCTAAACCTCTCTTGAGAAAACCGTAGACCTGTTTCCAGGTCTGCTTGAGTAAAAACTGCCTCAAAACAATGGGACTCCGCTTATCCAATTTTACACTTATTTCTTATAATGTAATGTGGATTCTAACGATACCCGTTGTCCGACCTGAGAACACCCTTGTGCGTCCTCTTGTGGTGGCCCTGTGCTGGTTGTCTCTGTTCTGCCCTTGACAGCAGACCCACTTTCCCACTCGACTGGTCACCTCTTCCAATCAAGTCTCTTGGTGGTCCGTTTCGATCCTTGTGAACCTCTTTCCCACTCGACTGGTCACCCTTTCCAGTCAAGTCTCCCAGTGGTCCGGTTGGGTCGCAATCTATCTAAAAACCCTTAACAACGCCCCCCACTCGGGCACCCTACCAAGGTCACTGCTAGTTGATCGAAAAATTGCTAGATTGATCGAAACGATCGGTCTTGTAAAACAGTATGTGTATACTATTTAATTAATACAAAGGTTCGATCCAACTAATTTGGTATCAAAGTCACTGTCTTTTTTCGTTTTATAGTTTTTGTTCCTATTTGTTTTCCTTTTTTGCTCGTGTTTTGTCCCCCTAGTTGCCCCCCTTTACTCGGTTAGCTAAGCCTCGTTCGGAGAGCGTACCAGGAAGTTTTCTTGAGTTTTCTTAAAAAGCTATCACGGTACAACCGGAAGGCTTACACGTTCCCGCTGAACCGTACCACCGGTACTCTAGAATGGGCATGTAGCCCGGAGCTGTGTCAAGTGGGTTCGACTCCGTAGTCATGATGTCGTAAAAACACCCAGGAGCGCCATAAAAACACTATGTAACAGTCGCCTACTTTAGTCACATATGAGGCTTAAGAAAAATAGGCCCTATAACCATTGGCTCAAGAGTCAGGGACACTATCTCTTGTGTTTTTCCGCCTCAAGAACGGTCGGAGCCAATTCGGTTCGCTTGCGACATGAGACTGGAACCCATTACAGCTTAAAGGCCACTACCAAAATACCCCCCCACTCTAGAAATAAAAACGTCCCCATACTTAGGTCTCGGGATACCCAAAATACATGAACGCCGTTAAAAACCGGGTCGGAACAATCCGCTTAGTTACTTTTTATTGGACAGTGGAACTTTGATCCATTTCAGATGGATCAACCTAAAACTCGCCTTATCTCAACATAACTATCATAAAATACACTCGAGAAATTTAAATTGGAACTTACATATCGACGCACTTGAGTATGAGGAGTAAGTTATAACTGAGCAGCTTGAGAATTAAGTAATATAACTAAATAAGTTTTAAGGCCAATTAGTTTCAATAACAGAAGTAAATTTTTGTCTCTAGAATCAAAGTCTCTGAATGAACCCTTTGGACACTCGAGTTGTCCACTCTTCCATTCAGAGTCCACTCCTTTCCATTCGAATAATTGTTCTGTCTCAAGTCCGTATTCGATTCTCCTGTTTTCAGGACAAGACAGCTCTACTCTCTTGATGTTTCGTATCGAGAAATTGCGAATAGCAATTTCCTGCCTTTTTCTTGAGTAGTTTCCCGCAATTGTTAATTCGGGTGTTCTGATTTTTGACTTTTTCATTTTCAGTTGGTTCGAGAAAATTGAGCATGACAGGCTCGATTCGAATTTTGCAAAATTAAAATTTCACTCCAAAATTACGTATTTCTCAAGGTCAAACCCCCAGACATGACCGACTGGCACACCCTGTACGCATCAGAGAATCAAAGATATCTGTCGTTCTGGTTCTTCTGCAATATATAATCGCCTTAAACCGATGTCGCTTTGATTGCAAATACGAAATTAAATCGTCCAGAGGATAAAGCGTGTTGGCATTGGTTCGGTGTTTCGACAAACTGTTATTCAATACGTCGTGCCAAAGAATTATCTCCTTGTCCACCAGAGGATGCTCTTCCAGAAGTGTCTGTAAATTTTGTCTCTTCCTCACGGTATGAGGATTCAGCGATAATCCCGATTCAGCGTATACCAGTTCGTCCAGTTCCGCTTTCTCTGCTGGTCGTAAGGTATTCAAGCTATGAAATAGAGAGCTTGCAGCTACAACCCATGCCATTTTAACTCAAATATAAGAAAACTCATTGTTAAGATGAGAAAAAAAAAATAAAAATTAAGACTATTCTGAGAAAAAAGTAAAAATGATCTAAAAATTATTTGTTTGTATTTTTACAACAAACTTTTTAATCTATCATTCACTCTTCGCCGAGGTTATTTTTTTTCCAAAATTTAACAAAAAGTAGAATAAGAATTTTTTAAAATTGTTAATTCAAACGTTTTCGCTCATTTTGTGCATCGTCAGGATATAAAATTTTTTTATTTACAATAAAATGATCAAAGATCATGTATGAAATTCAAAAAGATTATGTTAGAAATTTTTAACCAATCACATTCTTACATCTGTTAATACGTAATCATTATTTCATCGATTATGACAATTTCCATACTTTTTTGTTACTTGAGTCATAATTTTTTGATTTGATGTTTTATCCAAACTGACATGTCAGTTTATTTTTTCAAAAATTGCAATTTTAGTCAGGTTTAAACATGTACTATAATTTTAATGTCATCTAAATTACATTCCGCAGCAGCTCAGTTTTTTATCTGAGCACGCATACCAGCTCATATGCGTGCAGTTCATTTTTAAGAACATTCTAGCCTCCTTTTCATCAATGGGGATATTGACCGGGCTGTCCGGGGGGTATGTGACAATCGACCGGAATGGACAAAAATGCAATTTCGATTATTAGCCGCTAACTTGGAGAATTGGCAGTTTTAGAGGATTAGCAGTGTTATTTAGACGAATCGTGAAGGTCAGAAGAAATTTCCCCAATCGAAAATTCGAAAATAAAAAAATTCCAGAACATTCTAGCCTCCTTTTCATCAATTTATGGCCACTAAGGCCTCCAATGTCGTTTTCGTGCTGCGACGGAAGGTTTCGCTGTGCCAATCCGAGGGAATGGCACATCTCTGGATGCTTTAAAATCGACTTGAATTGTTTATAAAAAAAATTTTGCCGATGTATTCATAAAGCATTGGTATGGCCCTATCCGACCTGGGCATGGACTGTCTCATTACGGAAGGGCCCATTTTAATTGACTTTTGCTATTGTTAGATTGTAATTGATAATTATTTTTTAGCAATATGCGTGCAGTTCATTTTTAATCTATGATTTTTAATGAATGATGCGTTTTTCTTCTAAGTTTTTTTTGGTTTTAGTGGCTTTTCTTTCTGCTAGCTTGCACTGCTGTTTTATTGTTCTATCGCAAGTGATGTGAAGCTCTGCATCGCCTCTTTGTGCAGTCGTGTACTTTTTAGAAAAAAATGTCTGTGCCTCAGCCACCTCCGAATGTTGGTTCCGATTTGCCAACATACAAAATGGTTGTTGTTGGCATTGGTGGTGTTGGAAAATCGGCATTAACTATCCAATATTTTCAAAAGCATTTTGTGGCTGATTACGATCCAACAATAGAGGACTCGTTCATACAACACAAAGAAATCGATGGAGAGTGGTGCATACTCGATGGTAAGTACTTCTAGCTTATGCCATTCTTATTCCTTGATAAAAATATAATATTTGTTATAAACTGCATTTTCTCTGAGGTCTTCGTATCTGCTGACTTTCGTTAAAGATGCTAAAATATAGTGTACATCACACACTACTCCTCTGAGTTGAGGCCTTGTGTGTGAAAAGTTTCACAATATGAGTTCAAATATTATGTACAGGCTACTAACATACCAGCGTTTTTAGTAAAAATGAGCGAAAGGAAAATGCCGTATAATCTATTTTTTAGTTCCCTTAAAATACATGCGATAAAAAGACAGCAAATAACGATCGACAATCACCAAAGTTCAAGTCAAAGAAATTGCGTTTCAAAACTAACTAAATTATTTTCAGATTTTCCAGCAGAGTTAAAATTCAAATTTCCAACTTCAAAAATTATGCTTTAGTTGTTACAAATGAAAGCATTCTACTCCCTCCCGCAAAAGCTTTATCCTCGGCGTGAGATTTTTTCTTCATTTAAATGGCTTGTTAAAAGTATAATAAAAAGGTTGCACCAGGAAAACGATTGATTTCTAATTTTTGTCTGGCATCAAATACAAACATTACAGAAAATCTACTTACATGAAGCGTCCATGGAGGTAGGATAATAGCCATTGGTTGCTTTTAGTTGTTAAGACCGAGTTATTTGGGTCAGCAAGAAGGACGCTGTGAACCGTGTTGGCGGTCTGCTTATTGTTTCTTCTAGTGTAGCTCAGTTAAGCTAATCTTTTTCACTTACATGGAGGTTGGCGATGATTTTGCAGTGGGTTGGAAGTTTTTGCATTTCTCAAGATCCTTACCTGGTTTTGGGAATTGAATGCCTGATGTTCTATATTTATGGTATTGGGGCTGTATTGATGGAGATGGTTATGATTTGAGCCAGAAATTTCAGGGCATCTCGTCCGAGGTAGTGTAAATAGATGGAGGCAATCTAATCAGGGCCTAGGGTCTTACTCTTTTTAGATTCTTCATAGGTCTCCTGTACCATTGGCGGCGCGACGTTATTTTTGCTAAGTTAAGTGTTCTAATTTGGTGTATAACTGGTCTCTCTGTTTTGTCAGGCTTTTCTTCTTATGAGGAATAAACTGGTAGTTTACACGATTTGTGCTTATATTTGCGTCGTAGTATGGGGTGTCGTCGAAAATGATTGGCTGGTTAGTTGTTTTCCGAGGGGTATGTCCTGTCAGATTTAACAGTGGACCATCGCTTGCTACATTTGGATTTATGGTAGCATTTTAAAAGAAAAGTTATCAATTTTCGTTTTGGATAAGTTTGATGTGTTTCCTTTTGAAAGGACAAATGTCGGGGGGTGACTTGGGTGTTTCTTTTGGAGGTTTTCTTATTGCGTCAGATGGTGGATTTAGAATAAATTTAGGATTGCGTCCTTGAATATTGTGGCGAAAGGCAGTCGTTGGGTTTCTAGGCTTTAGAGAACACTTCCTCAGTGTTTCCGAAATTACCCATCAGCGGTGGGAAAAATTGAAAAAGTTTGTTTGGGAGAATCTATCAAATGTATGACGCAGGATAGGGTGGTCGTCATTGGGAGGTGATTAGAGCCAAAGCAAAGCTGTTATCCAGTTTGATGTTATTGCAAAGCTGGGTGAGATGAGACTGATATCGGGTGAGCTTAAGCATATGTCTGTGATGCGGGTTGACTCAGTGTTTGCATGCGCTGCCAAAACAAGGTTACCAAACGAGGCTACTCGATCAGATGTAATGTATGTCTCATCTGGTGCCATCGCAAATGCACGGACCTAAAAGTTGATGACATCAGGAGGTACAGCCGCAACAAAACACCCTGGTATTGTGGTTGCCATTCCAACAGCGCTCAAGTGCACGTCTGCATCCCGAAAGCCAAAGATTTTGGCAGGTATGTCGACGAAATTATTAGAACAGCGAGAGTGACTGACATTGATGACATCATGTCACAGGCCAATAAACTACACCCGTGCCTCAGGTTCACTTCCGAAAGAGAAGTGGACATGATGGTGGAACGTAAACTCAGCACTGCCTGATATAGCAAGCCCACGGATACAGGTCTCATGTTGTATTTTCGGGCATGTGCCCCGAAACTGTACAAGCGAAATATCATAGAAGGTACAGTCTGTCGCATCAATAACACCACGTTGAGCTGGAACAAATTCCACAATGCACTGGTTTCCGCAAAGTGCATTCCTGCTGATGGAATATAGAGGACACATTTCCGACCGTTTCAGTAGAAGTATCAGGAAGATCACAGAAGTCTGCTCTCTGTATACCACACGGAAAATGAAAACTGTCTTACCTTCCCTGAAGAGCAAGATTCCAGATGATCTGAAAAGCCGAGTCATTTACGAAATAACCTGTTCTGGATGCAAGTCCAGCTATGTCGGTCAGACGGCACGGCATTTGATGACCCGGCTAGCATAACATGCCCGTGTCAGCTCACCCTTGGGAAGCCACCTCGAAAACTGCATCGGAGACGCTTCAGAAATTTGCTCCAAGATTCTGGACCAGACTGAAGATACAGGACGACTACTAACGCTTGAGGCCCCCCTGTATATCGCAAGGAGACAACCGACACTGAACCACTGCAAAGAATACAGGCAGCTCACCCTCAAGTTGTGATGGACACTTTTTTTTGTTCCTGTTTATATCGGCGAGATTTGTATTTACTCATATGCTAGTGCAGTTGTTTGATTTTTGTTTTTTGTTAACTGGTTAGCAATGATGACGACCATTTCATATGATAGTTTCTCTGATGATGCAAACAATGTGCGAAAGCGCTCAGAAATAAACATTGATTGTATGCTTTGTTTTTCATTCAATTTCATTAATTAGTTTGTCGCCCCGTAAGTAATTTCTTAGCTTCGAGAACCAAAAGTTGGCAATTGTGATATCGGCAAGTTGTGATATCGCAAGTGGTGCGAAGTGGCCGTTTAACATTTGAGATCTTGTGTTTGAACTTTATGGAACTTGGCTAGAGTATATGTGGCTGTTATTATGAGACTGTTCATGCGTGCATCTATTCTGTTCGTTCCATTCCATTCAATTCCATTTCAGTTCTGGACACCGCTGGTCAGGAGGACTACAGTGCCATGAGGGAACAGTTCATGAGGAACGGTGATGGCTTCATGCTTGTCTTCTCTGTCATCGACCACTCCAGCCTCGACGGAATCCCTCCTTTGCATAAGCAAATCCTGCGTGTTAAAGATGTGTAAGTTCTCTGCAATTGTCATCTGTCAAACTAAGTAAGAAATTAAAATGGCCACAGGTGCACAAATGTTTCTTATTTGTAGTGACACGTGTCCGATGATTTTGGTTGCCAACAAGATTGATTTGGTGCATCAGCGCAAGATCTACAGCAATCAGGGCGAAGAAATGGCCCAGAAGCTTGGGGTAAATAGACCATTTTGAAAAGAAAAGATGCTATCCGTTTCGTTGCTCTAGCAGAACAGATTGTCAAACTCAATCGATATATTTCAGATACCCTACGTTGAAACCAGTGCCAAGGACCCACCAGTGAATGTCGATAAAGCTTTTCACGATCTTGTCGGTCTAATTAAGTGAGTACTGTACTGTCTTAAACTGAGTACTACTAATTTACTAATTAAGTGACAAGTTGTAGCAGCCAATCAATCGTCTGCACTTTTCCAAGTTCGACTAAAAACTAGCACGTAGCCATTCATAGCTGTGTCAATTTATCATGATCATGAAATAAGTGAAAATGCAGGCCGGCTTCGAGTTTGCTTGATTACTCATGTGAGCATAATGTCATTACGAGGTTCACTTTTTGCACTTTTTGTGGCGTTTGTGCTGGCATAGCTTTGTCAATTAATTAGCACCTGTTGTATCTACCATATTGGTGGCTAGTATTTGAGGGTTTTCATGCAATCATGGCGCAGATGCGGCGAATTGATACTCTCAGTCTCCAGTTAGTTTTTTTGGCTATCGTAAGGGTGTTGTGATGCAATCGGGTACCAGACTTTTTTCCGCAAACAGATGTCCACAAGACTTTCTTCTGGACCCCTTCACAAATCCTCTTTGCAAATCCACTTTTCTTCGTCCTCTTTGCCAATCCTACTCCTCTTGGTTGCAAATCTTAAGCATTGTTGAGTGTGTTATTATAATTATCCGTTGCTTTTTATGTTGGTTGTGATTTTCCCAACTCGATTTATTAGTTTTTTTGTCCTTTTTTTGGCTTAATAGGCTTGGGCTTATTTTTTTCGGCCTATTGGCCTAGTTTTGAGTGGTCTCAAGAGAAAAATAGTTTTTCTTTTCATCTCTGGATTGGATAAAATGCTGAAAATCATAATAGAAATTTAGAGTTCAAGTTTTTCATGACAATAATTTTTTTGGCTTTTTTGTTTTTTCTTTTTTTCGGCTTGATAAGTTTCCGCCTTTTTAATATCGGTTTAATGGCCGCATATTGCGCATTTTGATGGGCGAAAAACGTTTGTGTGTGCGTGTCTGTGTTATGATCGCGAGGGGGAATTAATAACTTCTTTTTAGTCGTGAAAATATTCGATATTTTTCGTTTGTTTTTTTTTCGGCTTTATAGGTCTTGACTTACTTTATATCGGCTTGATCGAAACATACTGCGTCGTTTCACGAGCTGTGTATGTGTTTTGAGGATGAGGGGGACTTAATATAGTTTTTTTAGTTGTCTTAATTTTTTTTTTTCGGCTTTTTTTCCTTTTTTCTGCTTAATAGGATTCGGCCAATATTATATCGGCGTAGTGGCCACATATTGTTTCATTTTACATGTGCATACAGTTTGTGTGTATGATTATGTTTGTTTGAGGTGTGGGGACTCGATAACGTTTAGAAAAAAAATCGACCTAAAGGGTGTCTGCTAAGGTATTTCTGGATTTGTTACCCGGGGATAACTTTTTTCCCGATTCTAGTTTCATTTCTATCGTCTTGGCTAGTTTTTGCTTCAAATCTAGCCTTATCGATAGATCTAAATCGAAGTTTTTGAGTTTTTTCGACTAAGTAGCTTTGTGTTTTGTATCGCAAGTGGTGCGAAGGTCAGCTTCGCCTCTGTGTTTTAATTTACTCTTTTCACTTTTACTTTTCGCCGTTTTACAGCTTTTGTTTTCCTTATGTATTCGTTTTTGTTTGCGAAGTGCAGCATCGCTTCCATGTTTGAAAGTCGATGAATGTAGTGCAGACTCTTATTTAGGTCGTGATGTTCTTTTTCAGGAAAAGTCTTAAAATGCTGTAACATTTTATTTACAGCACTGCATTAATGCAAAAAGGAACAGAGCTATTTGTGCACTTTTTGAACTAAATTCGATTTCGTTTACTAAAAGGCAGTAAAAATTGCTCTGGTGATAAGCACGAAAAAACTTGATCGATTTAAAGGTTCAAAAGTGGAATTTAGTTCTCAGATTTCCCAGCGGAATAAAAACTTCTCCTGACACTCCAATTTTCTCAAATTGGGTTAATTTTATCAAAAAAAGAGTCAATCATAAGTTTTTCTTGTAATTCAAAGAACTTTAACACCATGGATTTTTTCTGTAGAATTCGAAACATATATTTCAAAAAAAAACAAGTCAATTTTTTCGGTTTCTTTTTGTCATTGACTCTTTTCCAACTGTCTGTTGGCTATGTTGAGGACTAAGAGTCTGTTGGCCATATTGAGAATTTGCAGTGGCATTTAGTAGCCTAGGTCAGTATCAAGTGTGAGCGAATGAATGCGAGGATAATGAAGGAATGTGTGGTGGAAATTGTAATGAGTTGATTTGTTTCAGAAAACAGCCAAAGTCTGTGGATGAGATGAAGAAGGAGAGCAGGAAGAACAGTAAGAAGTCCCGCAAGTGCACTGTGCTATAGTGTCACCGAATGGTGCAAATGGAGTGAAATGGAAGCACAACCACGCCTCTCTATCTCTCTCCCTTGCAAACTAAACAACTGTTGTTCAAACCAATCTCATCAAACTTGTCTTCTTCTATTCTCTCTCTCTCTCTCGCTCTATCTTTGGCTGAAGTTTGCCTTCTTTTTGATACATTGATCCACTACTCTATCCAGAAGTAATTAGAGCTATGTTTTATATCTGCAAAGAAGCAGCTTATGCAACGCCGCACACCAATCATATTGCTGTTGTATTAGATATGCCTCTAAATTCCTCTTTTTGCCTCCATTGTAACTTCAATATTTCACATGGACCAGTTCAGTTCTAAATTACTCGAGGCGAAAAAAGTGGCCACTTAGTTTTCGATTGCTATTTAAACAGTGATATTTATCTTATTCTATGTTAGCTATGCTATTCACGCAAGCTCCAAATTTGTCCTCAATTCATCATCGCTCAAAGCAGACATAAAACCTAATGAAGTTGAGCCCCGCTTTTTCATTTAAATAGCAGCCTGGGTTGAAAGAAGAATACGATCAAACAGTTTCATACTGTGGAAAAATGCTTATCATACAATTCCATGCAATTGCATAGCATATGAAAATCACATGATAAGCATTTTTTTCCATACAAGGGAATTGTATGATGAGCATTTTTTCGTGCTATGAAATTGTATGATGAGCATTTTTTGTGTACTGCCCACACAGTGCACCTGATTCAGTTTCAGATTCGCTCAGAGTTGTGGCCAATTTTTAGACTAGCCCACTTTTAGGCTATGAAGCTAACAAATAGTATGCCCTTAAAGGTTAAGCGATTAAACTGTTGTGGTGACTTGGCGCTGTTCAAATAAAGAGTTTCTGCAGTAAATGTTGAGTGATGAACTTTCTATAAATATCGAATGTTGTTATGACGTGTTCTTTTGGCGAGTGAAGCGAAGTTTGAAGTGCATTCAGTGCAACAATGAAGAGACTATGCAGTGATTGCATACCAACAGCAAGCAGTTCTTCACAGCTGTTTTGCCACCAGAGGGTAATTGGTAACAGCTGCTCACGCCACTGCACTTCAGTGCGTACATGATTCTCATGCCAATCCAGAGCCCCCTGACTACTTGTGACGTCATTGCAATTATACAAACAAAAATGATGCACCTTTGATCTCATTTGAAGGAATTGAGAAGAAACAACGTGATTAAATTAAGTTTATTCGATCAAATTGATGCTCGATAAGTTTCAGCCTCCTTCTTGTACATGCTGTCGTTCTCCTCTTCCATGTTTTTGTGATGCATTTGAGAAAATGACGTCATTTGCTTGCTATCATCATGGGGTCTAGGACAACAAGCCGAAGGGACTTCAGGCCGAAAATTAAACTTTACAAGCACCTCAAATCATTTTTTTTTTCATCTGTAAAACGTTGCTTGTCAAAATCGTAGGGTATTTTACTCCATAATATGCGTTATTTATGACAATGAATCACTTGAGATTGGCATCCGTTAATAATATCAGCCGGTTTTTGAAATGCATAAATTATAAACAAGAAAGTTACTTTCAACCGTGTTTTATTTTTCAACTTTCCTAAACATCATTTGGAGGCTTAAAATTGATGAAAACGCTAATAAGTACCGAATAAAGATCATGAAATTGAGAAATTCTTCAAAAAAATTTTCAAATTAATCATTCCATCATTTTCGGCTTGAAGTCCCTAATTTTACGATTCGGCTTGAAGTCCCGTCGGCTTGATGTCCGGCACCCATCATCATGAAGCTTGATAGATTTCTAATTTATGCAACATTTAGTTAGAGCCAATTCAGCAGTGCTATTAATATTAGGTTCTGTTTAGATAACATCAATTGTTACCTGAGATATTCCTATTCTATTGTAACATGAAACATTTTCTGTGAATAAAAATGAAAGAAACCACTTATCAAATTTAAGGCTACCTCTAGTTACAACTATGATCAACGGGTCTTCAAAAAGTAACCAGGTCTGTTTTTTCTTCTAAAAATAAAGAACTTGATAGTTCTCAAGTTTTAAATTAATCAAGAAGCTACCATACAGAACGTGTCCCTGCGTATTTATGAGTTGTTTTGCGTGTAAGTCGTGAATTCTCCGCTGAAGCGATTTGAGGAAGAAGAAATGAAAAGCTCTGAGGAAGCTCAATGGAACCTGATCTAAACTACATTTTATGATTGGATAAATTAGATATTTTACCAATGTAAAGTATTTAATATTAACCAATCATGATCCATCTAACTAACAACCCACTTATTTGTAAGTGCTGAAGTTACTTGTAATTTCAGCACCAGAGAGATTTGAATTTAACTTAGAAATTAGTTGGACTCTCCCGAGCACTTCAGCAGCCGCAATAAACCAGTATACCCTAGATCTATTGAGCCTAGCAGAGACTAGTTAAACAACCTGAGACTAGATAGTATAAGAGTAAGATTAGGATCGGTATTAGACTAAGAAGTTGCACGAATCTATCCGGCCGAAAATAAGATAGCGTGACGAGCAGACGGTGTACCCTATCCGAAATTACTCTATGAGTTATACACTCCAGTCCTAACTCATCTGGTGCGACCATAAGTCTCGAACAAGACCTTACTAGATTAGAATTAACCAAAAATAGATTAGAAATTAGACAAAAACATTTACAAAATGTTATACGACAATAATTTAATTGAAATGTCTCTCCGACTCAATAGATCAGAGCCAATATTCCGAACCATAACAGAACTACCCGGAATTGGAAGAAGACCTCGAACCAAAGACGACATACGACAAAGTAGAAACTTGCCGTATAGTTATATGATAGTTCGGCAAAAGCCAGAACAAACTTTTATATTTCGAATACTACTTGCAATGAATTTAGATTTCCATTTGCAAACATAAAACCTTGAAGTTAATCTTCAAAATCATTTCAGGCGCTAAACAAAATTAATATTATACAATAACGATTGATAAAAAGATCTTAGATCGTTTTCCTAAAACTCTGCAGTAATATACAAAACATGTTTGAAAAATATTTATTGGAAAATATAAATAAAAATTAGTAGCATGACAATAAATGGTTAGTAATCATAAATCATCCTGTTGTTCCAGCTTCATCACCTAAAACATAACAGCAATCATCAACTCACTAACATCATAAAACACTAAATCTTTCCTTTACACAAATTTAAAACTTTATTAAAACTTAAAGTCACTTAATTTTAAAACCAGATCATCAAGGCTTATCCTTGGATCTTAAATCATTTTCTACTTAATTAAATTTCAAACTTGATCATCAAGGCTTATCCTTGGATCAAACAGAACAACTTTGTTCTCCCCCACCCACTTAATTAGTGTCTAACGACCTCAAACGTCGATTCACTATCCAACCCTCTCTAAAAACCCAGGACTAATAGAAATTTTTAAACAAAACTAATCATTCAAATTAGGATAAACAGTGAAGAACTTCGGTTATTCATCCTTCACTTGACCCCCCCTCTTACCAGACCCAGGATAAATTTTAGACTTAGTAAGTTTAAAATAGTATCTAACGAACTACTCGCGTTCTAATTATACCTGAACCTTGTGGATCGATTTACTATTCTCCAACCCTTGAACACAATCACTACCCCTAAGAAAGATTAAGTAAGTTAACACCTTAGCTTATACTAGTCACGAGAAAGTAAAAATCATTCTTCGGAATCGATATACTTTTCTCTCCAACCCTGAACAAATAGACCCAGGTTAAGCTAACCAAAAAATCGTAAGAACTAACAGTTTAAGTAATCAGAATTCACTTAACAACTTTTTGCATCCGTCATCCTAAACCTTATGTCATTTAAAAACCTAGGAAATAAACAAACAATCGTTTTACACAATTGTGAAATAGATAACAAAAAATACGACCTTGTAATCACACCTCATACACAAACAGTTGGATACATTCGCACAAAACGACAAACACTAAAGAGGAAAATAATAACTAAACAAAGACAAATAACACGAAAAAGATTTTCAAAAAATCGAAACGCATTTTCAGAATCAGAAACCAATAGTTTAGACGAACTTTACAAACTAAAAGAATCAATAGATAAAAATTGCCCACTTCACGATCAACTATATTTTTCTGACTCAGAAACAACTTCAAATTCATCAAAAAGAGGAAAAAGAAGAATAAAAAAGCAGTACAAACACAAACCAGTACATTTATACAATTGGAATCAACCAATTCGACACATTAATAATTACATATTAACAGTCATCGAACGAAAAAATGAGCTCAACGCACACTCCAGGTGAAGAAACTCCAGATGATGATGAAATCTTTCCTTTTATAGTAGACGCAGATACTGATAGAGGACAACACATATTTTGTCAAAATTTACTCGTAAATTTATTTGAACCCGGAATTAGTCCATGTAAAACAGAGTTCCCAGATGTAAAAATCAAAAGACAAATCATAGACCACTACTTAAAAAATATATGCAACATAACACAACAGTATGGAATCTACTCCATAGAATTCACCTCACCAAACCATAATAATAGAAAATATACAATTCAAACAGACGACCTTGATTTAGAATTTTCAAAAGTTTTTTCAGAATATATAAAAAGCATCCAATACCATAACTCACAAAGAGCAAACTCCATTTTCACCAATGAAGTTTTCGCAATAATATATAGTTATATTTCGATATTAGAAAATGAACTCCCATTAACAAATGTCTCACCGACAGAAACATCTAAACATTTAAGAGTACGACATGAAATCACACTACTCTCTAGTTATTTAAACATCATTAAAGAAAATTTCACGAAAGACGACGTTTCACAACATACCAAACACGATTTACAAAAAATTTTGGCATGGTTCATAATAGATTATTTCACACACAATATTGATTTAATTGCACAAGCAAGAAAAAATTTTAGACCCCAAAACTCGAACGATGATACCGCTATCACAGAACAATCAGATTATGTTTGGGACCCCGAATGGTCTCATCCCGCATTTATAAGCTTTCCACAATCAATCTCAAGTCAAGCAATAGGTACAATATCTTACATAAGAGATTATGTAAGAGTAATACCATTAACAATTGATGCAACACCATTAAACTATAATACATTTTTACCCGATACACAAAATAATAGTTTAAACTCTACAGTCATACACAACGAAAACCTCAATGGAACTAGGAATCTTACTCAACAAGATATACAGACACCATCACACTTCATAAATGAAGAAATTGTACGCACAACAACTACACAACAAAGTATTTCACCAATACGCCCAAATTTAACAACACCAAGAAATACAAATCCTTCACAAACACAGGTAACCTTACAATCAACCGTTAAACCTTCGGTTGCCCCTAAATATTCACATATGGATTACCAAACATACAGACCCATGACAATACCATCAAAAACACGCAAAACATTCACTAGAAACAACTTTGCAGACCATAATTATAATTATACACATCCATCAAAAACATATAATCAACCACAAAGAAATTTTAACCAATATACAAGATCTCGAAATTGGGATAACCCAATGACCCAACCTAATTCAATAAATTTCCAAACAAATCCTCCACAGGATCACAGTGAAAATTACCCATTTTTTCCACAAAATAAAAATAAAAAACAGACATCTTATCAAATGGATTATTTATCCTCAGATGATGATTTCTTACAACCAGATATATTTACACAAAATACTCAAGAATATCGTAGACAAGGAATACAGAGAACACGTACAAATCATAGAAATTTTTCTCCACAACCAATAGATGCACAACATCAACAACCAATTCAACAACAAAATCTAATTAATACACAATCTTTTCAACCAATTCAACAACAAAATCCAATGACTACACACTCGTATCAAGCATCACAAATGCAAAATGAAATACCACTCCCATATTATCTTCAACAACATGAAATAACAAGAAACCAACTTTCAAATTTTTCTCAAATGCCAAATGCAGCAGAATCATTACAAATGACAATGAATCCATACCTTATGGGTGGATCATCAATAACATCAAATAAACCTTTAATGGTTTTCACAGGAACAGACCCTGAATACTCTGTAGAAGATTATTTAAATGCAGTAACAGCAAACCTGATTTTAAACATTGGACCTGAACCAATTAATACGCCACTACATCAAAACTGGATACATCGACGCACAGCGTTGATACAAACAACCTTAGATGGCGCAGCCCAAAAATGGTTTTCAGTACTACCTCTAGAAATAAAATCAAACTGGAAAAGGTTTACACAGGAATTTTCAAAAATGTTTGACTCCGAAAGAAACAAACAACAACAAAGAGTTTTATGTAATGAAATTCGCAGATTACCAAACGAAACCATCAAGCAAATAGCAGTACGAATCGAAACACTAGTTCGAAAAGCATATTCATTAAATACACATGACTATAAAAACACAAAGATGACAGAAATCTTAATGATGACCTTAACACCACAATTAAGGAAAATAGCAATAAAAAAGAGAGCATCTCATCCTTCTTCAATTCGAGAACCCGATTTAGATTTTCGAAAACTAGTAGACAAATTAGAACAAGCAGAAATCACGATGAAACTAGAAGAAACGGAAAATCTGAAACTACAATACGTTAACAGAATTGAAACGACTCCCACTAATATTAATAATATACAGGAATCAGAGACAGACCTCGTTGAAAAAATCACTGAAATACTCAATATTTATGAAAAGAACCCAAACTTCAAAGGCAAACCATCTTTCAAAAAATGGTGTAATTATTGCCGACGATACGGACATAGTATTTCCGAATGTAGACAAAAACAGCAAGACAATCAAAATAAACCTCAAAAATACAAAGAACCAAATAAATCATTCTATCAATACATGAAAAAAGATCAAAATCTACCGAACAAAACAGTCCACAGCAACAACAGTTCAGGAAAACCACTCCCGAACAATACA